ATCAAGCAAGGGTACAGGCTATGGCGACTCTCGATAAATTGTTATGTTATCGATTGGTAAAAAGGAAGACGGCAAAAGTAGGCACCTCGCCAGTCTTCCTCGTGCTTCCGCTCAGATGGCAATGAGCTTTCAAGATCAACCTGTCACGCATTTTCCTTTGAGGAAATTTCCTTGACAAAAATGTTTGATTAGTGGTTGTTGGGCTCTAACTGAGATTTATGTTCGGGACACTTCAAAGTGGGGGTTGGGGGGGGGGCGGACATTTAAGGGGCTCAAAGTAGTTATATGGAAACAAAATTAAAAGTTCAACTTTGAATGTAGGGGGGACGAAATCGAAGGGTGACAGAAGGCCTGCTGGATGACAGGTGCAGAGGCGTAGCGAGGGTGTTTGGCGCCCGGGGACAAGATTCGCGCCCGGGGACAAGATCCATTTTAAAACGCCCCCTTTTCTTTTTTTCAACTCTCAAAGCCATTATTTTTACCAATAATATAATATCAAAGCACATTTTGGCGCTCCAAACTAGCTTGCGCCCGGGGACATTTGTCCCCCCTGCCCCCCTCGCTACGCCTCTGGACAGGTGTCAAAATGCGTTTATCATGTTACTAGGCGTGCGAGTTTGTGGCGTAGATAGGGTTTTAGCCGTCCCCTTCCACAAAAAAATTCGGCAGTAGAGTCTGACTGAATTGCGGCTTCGGTTTCGGCGCCGAAAATTGTCATTTGATCACTTTCGGCGTAGTTTCGGTTTCTGCTGAAACATAAAAGTTAACATTCGGGGAATTTCTATTTCTACCGAAAGGAATTGAACTTTCAGCCATCTGTTCATTATTGCTCGACGCCTAGCTATATACCGTAAACAAATAACTAGGAGTTCAGTGGTCGTCTTTACCCTAAATGAGAAACCCGGTGAACAGAAGGGTCACAAGCTACTGCATTTTGAGAACTTATGTTCTAGTTTATTGGTAAATAATATAATGTATTCCTAAAGAACTTGATATATTAATAACCTGTATCCTTCAGAAACGTCCAAGATGAATATAACAATATAACCCTTGAAAATTTCAATCAGTTGTATTTTAAAAGCAGAAATCCATGCTTTAACACCAGTAACATTTTAACACACATTTAATATTTGTATCAACATGTAAAGATAAGAATTTTATTAAATTTTCAAAAATTACTAAATTAGTTTTATTTATCTGTGAGCTGCATTTCGATTTGTAATTTATTTACATGCATTTAAAAAACTTTATTCCTGAAGGGGTCCATGGACTCAATTTTCTGGAAAAGGGGTGTGTGAACTTCATCTTGTATGGCAAAAGTGTCCATGAACAAAAAAGTTTAAGAACCCCTGTTTTAAAAGAAATATACATATAAATTTGGATGATTTATTTTTTTTGAGGTGTTAGCAGAGAATGACAAAATTTGTTTTATTTTTTAAATGTAAAATCAAAATAGTTTTAAGGCAGTAATAGTAAATGACTCAATGCAGCACTTACATTTACATGCAAGGTTACACAAAATAAAAACCTTTTTGCCTTTTTCAAACCCCTTACACTATCGTTAGGTATGTGTCTGGTATGGTACATTTTCACCATTAACAATTCATGTAAAGAAGCTGAATTGTGAAGGTATTGTTTATTGATGCAAGAAATATAGCAGTAATATCAACTTTTTAAAAAAATTAAAAATATGTGCATAATTTTAAAAAAAAAGAGAACGATGAATTTTAAAATTTAGGAACATTTTACAAATAAGAACAATAGAAGTAGATGATATGAGTAAAAAATAATTACATTGAATCAGGGGTTCTTAACCAGAGGTGCCCACAGTGGCAGTGCCAGGGGGTGTGGAGGATTCAGAGATTTTGAAAGCAAAAACACAAAAATTGGGTTTGAATGTGAAAAAGCAATTAAGAATATATTTAAAATAACAAACATTAAACTGCACAAAGCCATTTCAAATAATTATTTAACTCTCCCCTGTCATCTACAGTTGAATAATATTAATGCAATTTAATGACAGGCAACAGCTATATATGTATGCAACTTCTTTTTATCCGAAGCAAGTGGTTGGGGTGGGGGGGGGGGGGAGTTTTTTTTACTTTAAGAGGAGGGGGGGTAATCAAGGGGGGGGGGCACATGAAAAAAAGGGAAGAACCCCTGCATTAAATCAAACCAAATGGGGGGGGGGGGGGGGGGGGGGGGGGGGGGGGGAGATGTTTTTACATTAAGAGGGATGGGGGTAATCAAAGGAGGGCAGCACATGAAAAAATGGTAAGAACCCCTGCATTAAATCAAACCAAATATAGGACACACAATGCTGATGTTGCAGTTATATGGTCTAGCACTATGCAATATTTAGCAAAGCAATATATAACAACAGCATAGAGCAATAGCTGTTCAAGTTTTACACCCCGTTTCTTAATGATGAATATTTCAACAATGTTTCAAGTACCCATGCACATAAAAATAAAATAATAATTAATACTGCCATATAAACCAGCCTGATAACCTTATTATTGAAAGAATTAAAACTAGCTGATATGGGGATTTTTTTCCTTCAAAATTGTTTGAAGTTCTTCTTTAAACCTTTGGAAAATTTCCTTCAGAAAAAGATTGCTCTCATAATAACAATAAATAAATAAACAGCCACCCTTAAAAAGATTGATTAAATTAACTTGTTTTTTTTTTTTAATTAGTATTCCAGCATCTGATATAAAAATAAAAGTACTAAATAAGTTACTAGATTCCTTGCAAATTATATTTACACATATTATAATGGTTAATAAACCATCAACAAATTATTAAAATATGTTGTCACTTTCAAAAACTCAATTCAGTTACCAAACTTGTTTTTTATTTATATTTGCTTTATTTTGAATTTCTACCAAGAGACCTCAACAGCATAGGTCGCTTTACTTTGCTTTCATAGGTCTGACTAAGCCATTTGTTTGGTAAGCACTGTGACCCGTTCAGTATCTTGCATAAAATAGGTTGTCCCCCATGATTGCTCACAATCATACAGTCATTTCACAAAGATATATGCATTCCCAGTCAGCAGCGAGGTAAAACAAGGCTCCATACTGGCACCAACGCTCTTCTCCATTTTCTTCTCAATGCTTCTTCAGTTTGCTTTCAAGGACTGTGAAGATGGAGTGTACATCAATACCAGATCTGAAGGTAAGCTTTTTCAGTATCGCCAACCTTCATACAAAGACCAAGGTAAAAATGGTGCTTATTCGTGAACTGCTTGATGCAGCCTTAACATTGCACTTGCACACATATACATGTAAAGAGTTTTGACTAACCAGTGGTCTACAGAAAACATGTCATGATGCAAGAAGCACAGTCCCCTTCAAACAAAACTATTGAGTAACAAAACTATCATTTGTTGGTAGTTGAGAATTTCCAATACCTTGGATCCAATATCTCTTCTCTGTTGACAAAGAGGTGAATATCAGGATCGCAAAAGCAGAAGCAACTAGGGATAAATTGAATAAGCATGTGTGGAATAATCTTTAACTGAAAGTGCAAAACTAAGCATCTATCAGGCATGTGCTTTGTACGCTCCTACATGGCAGTGAAGAGAGGACCACATATGCCAATGCCAGTCATGAGTGGAAATGAAACAGATTTCACCAAAGATGTCTGCATCACATTTCGTGCATTCGATGGCATGCCAAGGTGCCTAACACAGAGATTTTGAAACATGCCAAAATGTGTAGCATGTTCTCCACTCTTAGCAAGAGGCGCTTTCGCTGGTATGTAAGGAGAATGGAGGAAGGATGTGTTCCAAGGGATTTGATGCATAGAGTTGGCAGAAGGGGCAAGACTCATTCAATAGCCATGGCTGCGATTTAAGAACGTTTGCAGAAGGAGCATAAGTGAAGCCAACATAAAAAACATTGAATGGGAGATAATTGATGAGGACCATTCCAGCAGTTGAACAGCAGTGTTTGAAGGAATCAAAAAGGCAGAAGATGTGTGAAACAAAGCCCTTGCAACGAAAGGCCATTAAGGAAAGTCAAATATAAGGTCTAGGTTCTCCTGCGAGAAGTGCAGCCGAGACTGCTATTCCAGGATCAGCCTTGTAAGCCATTTGATGAAGTGTCCATGGCTCCCAAAGATGGAAGGATGCCATATATATTATTTTGCATCATTTAAAAATACAGTTTGAGACAAAATTATATCCTTTACCATTAAAAAAAAAAGGTTATAATTCAAAGAGTATGAAAGAGCTTTCTGTAGATAAGGTTAAAAATAATTAAAAAATTAAAATTATAATTGAACCTCAGAGGGCGACAACAAGATGGGAACCAAAATATGTTACTGCCATAAAGCTGAAGTATTGTTAAGTAATAAGCAGCCTGAAACAAAGTTCAATGAGACCTGACCTCTCCCCCCCCCTCCCTTTCGAGGGGTGTACTTGAACAAATATAAAAATATTATCTCCTTATCACAACTAAAATTTCTTTTTTTTTTTTTAAATGTTGGCTGCTTATTTTTAATATTTATATTGTTTGTCAGTTGATGTAGGCTTTCTGCCAACACGTTGCCAGTATTGTTTGTCAGTTGATGTAGGCTTTCTGCCAACACGTTGCCAGTATTGTTTGTCAGTTGATGTAGGCTTTCTGCCAACAAGTTGCCAGTATTGTTTGTCAGTTGATGTAGGCTTTCTGCCAACACGTTGCCAGTATTGTTTGTCAGTTGATGTAGGCTTTCTGCCAACACATTGCCAGTATTGTTTGTCAGTTGATGTAGGCTTTCTGCCAACACGTTGCCAGTATTGTTTGTCAGTTGATGTAGGCTTTCTGCCAACACGTTGCCAGTATTATTTGTCAGTTGATGTAGGCTTTCTGCCAACACGTTGCCAGTATTGTTTGTCAGTTGATGTAGGCTTTCTGCCAACAAGTTGCCAGTATTGTTTGTCAGTTGATGTAGGCTTTCTGCCAACACATTGCCAGTATTGTTTGTCAGTTGATGTAGGCTTTCTGCCAACACATTGCCAGTATTGTTTGTCAGTTGATGTAGGCTTTCTGCCAACACATTGCCAGTATTGTTTGTCAGTTGATGTAGGCTTTCTGCCAACACATTGCCAGTATTGTTTAATCTCACAAAACTTTGTTGTAAATCTTGTCAGCATCAATACAAATTTTTGTTCTCTCAAACTGCAAAGAACATAAAAAACCAACCATATATCAAGCACATATAATTTATAATATTAAATCAATATTTTTTAACAACCACTCATTTTTAAAGCCATAGTATAAGTTGGTCCATTTTTATAGACTTAACATGGGATACAATTATCTTAAGACATGGACAATTCTTTGTCTACTAGAAACAGTCAACAAATAAAACAGTTAAGATCTGAGTATATGTTGAATTTTGTAAAGTGACAATTATTACATACACAAATTTAAGCCATAAAATACATTGTGTAATAAATAATCTAAAAAATGTGTTTCTCTAACTGGTATGTATTTCTTGTTTTACTTTTGAAGTGTGCTAGAGGCACTGAGTATTTAATTAGTAGCTGTTACCTTTCTTTCTCTTATTGCAATTACTGATAGAGGTTTCCCAGACCAATGTCAGTATAGTATTAATATGTGCTGATATTTTTCTATGTATTTAGTAAAGATTTATTAATAATGCTTTAACTTTAAATCATAAATATTGCAGTCATAAATTAACTTGGAATCATAAATAGTTAACTATTTACATAAAATTTACTGTGTTAAAATATTTGAAAAAATGTGAATATAATTTTAATAGGAAGGCAGAGTCATTTGATTAGTTCCCTTTACTTGATTAGTTCCCCCTTTGTGATCAACTATGAATAGTTAAATTAAAAAAAACATCAAACTGAAAACACAACATTTGGACATGTTGTCTTGTGTTATAACTATTACAGAAGCCCCACCATATGAAGAAATATCACATAAGATAAACAGCGCAAAATTCATGTTTTTCAACACCAGTCATTTTATGCCACCTTGCTCTATCAGTAGGACATTAAGCGATGTGATGATGCAACCAAACAGAAAATTCACACAGACATTCTAATCCTTTAAAATCATGAGATTTTGAATTTGGCAGGATTTAATTTAACTTGTAAAGTAAACAAAATTAAAACTATGGTGGAAAAACATGCAACTGTGCAAGCATGTTATCAGATATCAACTTTGTTCATGGCAAGACCATACAAATGAACAACAAAACAGAAATGTCACATTTTAAAATCCTGATATCTCATGCTATCTTGTTGTGGTGTCAGAGGCATTAAAGATATCTGCATTTTGTTTGTAGCCAAGTAAAACTAGGTTAATGGCATGTAGGTTTTCCTTAAAAATCAATACAAATTTTGGCAGTTCTGTTAAACACATAGCACAACGTATCCATGATAAACCTTTAATGAAAAGTTGATTGCATCTGTTTGGAAAAATACTTTTTGAAAAACAAAAACATTTCAGGTGATAGATAGCAAAAAAACCTAATACTTTCATTCAGGCAGTAATAGTTGATCCCTAACTTATGTTTCAATTAAGGGGATTTTAATAAATTTTTTAAAAAAAGGACATTCATTATAACCATAATCTCTAATTATCAACTTCGCTTTCTTTTACCCAGCTTCATCAGCTGTTTACTGCCCTCCTGTTCTATTTCCATCTGGATATCACTCAGGCTCTCCTCCTGGACTTCACTGCTGGTGTCTGGCTCTGACAATTCCTCATCACTGTTCTCCTCCTCTGCTTCCTCATCAGCCTGGACACCGCTCAGCCTGAATTTTTTGACACTGCACAGAGTCCTCTGCATCACAATCACCCGGTCCGGTCTTGATGTCGAAGCTGAGCCCGCTGAAGAATGGTGGGGGTGTGCATTCTGCCATTGAATTGGTCTTCGGGGTGTCAGGAGATAACCAGTCAAGCCGCCGGTCTGTGATTTTCGCTCAGCTGAGTCTTCTTTCTCCTCATCTTCTGTTATATCATCGTCAGAGTCCCCTAGATTGAGGACATCATGGATATGCTCTATCCTTGTGTCTTCGTCACTGCTTTCATCCTCATCATCAGTGCATCCTTCTAGGACACTTTTAAAGGGCAAGCAGATCTCACATATGTATCCCGATTTGGGTTTTGGCAGGGTGTTGTGGGGCACATGAAGCAACCAGGTCATGTTGTTGGCTAAGAAGGCCCTTAATCCTGGAGGCATGGCCAGGGCATCAAGGACACTGAGGTGGGATGGAACAAACTTTCGTAGCCTCTGACAACAAAGGAACTGGAGGGAAGTGGGGAAAGATCTGGAAGATATTACTTTCATGCCACTGCGAGCGGCTGTAGAACACGCCATGGGATACAAGGTTCTTCCTCTCAAATTCTTGAAAGCAACACCTGAAAAATGTAAGGGTAACATGAAGGTTAAATAATGAACATAATGTTGTGGTAAGGATAATGTCCACTGCCACTACACCAAGTGGTAAGTGCTTGAATTTACCTGGAAGTGATCTCCAGCCCTTTAAAATAATGCATATTAGTAATTAAAATCATCATTAAAAAAATACCCCTTTCCCTGTTTTCGTTTTGATTTAATCTATTTTTAAAAACACTTAGATCTGAAATAACACATTAGTTTAGAGAAGTGCTCCCAACCCTTTTGACTTGTGTAGCCCAATTTTTTAAATAATTTCTATAGGGCAACCCCCTAGGCCTATCCTGTAATGTCTTACAAGTTAACAGTGTTTAGGACATAGAGTTTCCTTGAGTGGCCGTGGAGCCCCTGAGAAGTGCTTGCAGACCCCTTACCATTTGGGAACCACTGGATTAGAGGATACCTGACTCTCATTATGTGTTTTGCTGATGCTTGGTAGAAAATAAAAATATATTGCCTCATCATCAAATAGTTAGACTGAGTAGACCTGGATGTGAGCACAATTTTTTTAATGGACTTATTGAAATGGCTTATTCATTTGAAAGTTTAAAATAAAATCTTTTAACTCTCACTGATGCAGAAAGCACTTTTTTAAAATTTATAACTGCTCGTAACCTCAAACTTAAACTTAAGTTCTGCAAATCACCAATATTTGTTCAAATAGTATGTTTTTTGAAAAAACACACATTGATTAAGTCCTTAAATGAGTACCGGGTACCACAGTACAAATCATAAGATTTTTTAAAAAATTATAATACCGTACTTAAAAGCACAAAACTTTTTAAAATATGTTCACACAAAAATGTTAATCTATCCACACAAAAAAATCTTAACTGTAGGTAAACAAAACTATGGCTATGAGTAAAAAATTTAAATTTATATTAAATAATCCTTCACTTCTCCAAAATTAATTTCAGATTGTCAGCCAATCACTTAATACTAAAACTAAACTATCAAATGTCTAGTTATCATCAATCCTATGGGTAATACCTAAAAAAAAAAAAAGGTTGAATTTAATTTATTTAGGTAATTGTACAGATTAAAAAAACACCCCCTGCCAATCATTTCAAATTGGTAATTCTTTTCAAATTTTTCATTACCTAAACACTGACGATTTTTGAAAAAGGCGAGTGTGCCATGCCACATATCCAGGTGGACACCAATGATTGCTCCTTGACCAAATCTGCTGCAATATTCCTGTTTACGTCCTCCATGTTGAATGCGCCCATCATATGAAATACCCCAACTGTCCATATCATAACCTAACATGCTGCAGAAAATGTTGTGAAATTTGTTGAGATCAACATTTTCAGTCCCAACTCCAACCATCTGAAATTAAGGAAAACCATTGTGACAATAATGTACAATTATTTAGCCAAATATCGTCGCTCATGTTAGCTGGCTAATCAAAAAAATTTTTCACATACCGGTAAACAAAAGCTTGTTATTTCCCAAGCAAAATATTTCATCTAAAAATGTTTATTACACAATACATACTGTAATAATGATTTAAATTTAATGTTAAGTACCCTGTACCAGTTATTCAAATATATTCATTAAATTTAATTGTTGCTGATGTTAGAAAATGTGAATTTTAAAAAGTTTAAAGATCATATGCATTTAAAATACAAAACATATTTTGCATACCATATCTGTACCATATACAGGTGTGGTCATCTTTATTTCCCAGAAATATTGGTCTTTTTCCATGGGCTGCTGACCTCGTACAGCAGATGTTCCACAGCTGTAATCTTTGTGAAATATTACTTGATGGCCCTGTTCTTGCAAACTAGTGGCCTGGCCTCTGTGTTTTACATTAGGATCCCAGACCCAGTCAAAATCTGGATATCAAATTTAAAATTTCAAACAAATTTACTATAATTAATGCAAAAATACCTAATGTTCATACTAAATGTTTTTTTTTTGTAACTCTTGAATTTTGATGGAATATAGAAAGGTAAAAATTAGTATTTAAAAACTATTATTAATACAAAGGTCTTTACAAATTACTGACAATATGAGCACACTTGACATACTTACAATTCTCCTCCTCCCCACACCGGCAGTCTCTCTCTCTGCCATACTTTGCACACTTGCAAAATGTTTCTGTTCTTAGATATTTCCCATGTCGAAAGCGTAAAATCATTGCTAAGCTCCTTAACTCCCGATTTGTCATTTCAGCCCTCTCAAACAATGATGCTGATGTTTGACATGCCCTTTCCTTTTTGCTTGCACTTTGAGGATTTTGAGAATTATGTAAGCTGTTGGTAGAAGCTGATACTAAAGACAACTTGTTTGTCTTAATTTTCTCTAGTTTCCTGAGCTTTGACAATCTTAATACACAATATTTACATTGGGATGGTTTGGAATCTTCCTTTTCAGTTAGTGTGCCTCGATTAATTTTATCTTTCAGTGAAGCATCACTAATATCATCATCTGTGACACTACCATCAAGGCTTTCTACATACAACCTTATTGATGATTCTGAAGGTGAGTTTGATGATGGGCCTAAATCTGTAGCAACAAGGCTGCTCAATAAATGTGCCTCAATAGAACTATCTGGTGCTTGTGATTGAGTGATAGATATTTCTGGTATCTGTAAAGCTTCTGAAAACTTATCAGCATCTTGATTTATAAATTGATGAGACAAAACTGAATGAGTTTTCGTGAAATTCATTTTTCAATTTTTTTTAGCAAAGTACCAAACAGGATTTTGGCTTGAAGTTAAGTGCTTGAGATTTGCATCTTTTCTTTACATTTTACTCACATTTTTAACCCTGAAAAAATAGATTATGATACAATAAGTAACCTTTTAAAAAAATGATGCAACAAAATACTTAAAATAGACCCTGTCTGTACTGAATGTACTAACAAATAACAAGTATTACAAATATAATGTTCATGCATACTAAAATGACAATATTTATTAATAATAAGTAATCTGCTGCCTATGGAGCAGTGCTTTCCAAACAGTGTGTCGTGAAACAGTAGTAAGTGGTCTAAAGGGTGTTGGTGTGTAGTTACATATATATCTATCAGCCGATATACCTTGCATGCTCAGGATTTCATTCAGAAAAAAAACATTTCTACAGCTTTTTAGCTAAAATCAAAATTAAGGGGCCTGTAAAAAACACATTAAATAAAACACAATCCCAAAGGGATCCCATTTCGGAATTGGATCCCAATTTCTCAGTATGGGATCCTCCTCTTGTGGGATCCCGATAAGATCCTATTTCCCGGTAGGATTCTCTGTTTCCCTGATGGGAACCCATTTTCTGATGTGATCCCATACCTGGTTTGATCCTGTTACCGGTGGGAACCACTTCCCTGTTGGATCCCCTTCTCCTGTGGGATCCCATTCCTCTGTGGTATCCCGTTACCCCAGAGATGCCATTCATGTTGGGATCTATTCTGTTTTGATACTTTTACCAGTTGGGATAACATTTTCTCATTTAAATCCTGTTTATTGGTGGGATCACATTCCCCAGGGGGAATGCTGATCCCCGGTGGGATTATGAAGTGCAGTTTACCAACTTATAAAACTATTTTTTGAATACAAATAATTATACAGCTAAATGCCATAGCTAAATCCATTTTTTAAAATTTAAGTTAAAAGAGGGGCCCATTACATGATGTACCATTTTAGTTCTGCCTGAGATAAGGGGCCTTATAATAATCATTTAAATAAATAATGAAGTTAAAATTTAAAAGTTCTCGATTTACAATCAGTTTTAAAATGGGCCGGCATTACCTACACCATGGCCGTGTACCTAGCAAAAACTTTGACTTTGGCTTGGTTATACCGCAGCGGTGTACCTAGCAAAAGCATTGGCTGTGGCCTGTGTACACCGCAGTGGTATAAGCAGCAAAACCACGGTCTTTGCGAGTCTTTATCTCTATGGCCTTACCAGTACTTGTAAAACTTGTTAAAAAAATGAAAACTATTTATTTAAAAATCATTTAATACCTGCAAGATTAAACAAAAGCAGTACTGAGATTTTAATTATGCGCATGGCCCAAGTCCTGCATGAACACAAAGGAATGACGTTCCTAGAAGAATGTAACTGTAATTTTTTTTTGTTGATAAGTATAGATAATAAGTTTAGATAAAATATTTTTTATTTATTTTGGGGGTTGGGAGAAAGATACTGGGTAGTTCCACATTTTTTGTGGCAAAGTACTCATAAAGAGCAAAGCATTTTTTTAGTATTTTATTGGTCACATCTGGCCTTTTTGTAAGTAAAACGCATTTTTTATCCTAACTTGTGGTGTACTCCCCACAGAGAGGCAATTTGTAGATTATAGTAGGACATATAATAGTTTCTGGGAGAGTGGCATGGGATAAGGGGGTTGGAAAAGTGGTCCACCCTGTGCATCATTTCTTTTTCCTTTAAATAGAGATTGCCATTTTGAACTAACTGGAAAGTCGGGTAAAATATTGGCCCGCCCTGTGTGGGGGGCACTTCCCCAAGCCATCCGCCAAGATAAAGGAAATATATTGTTTTCAAAATTGGAAGGGGGCAGTGTAATGTTAAACCATGATTTATTTTTAAAGTTTACCACTATATTCCCCCCCCCCCTTCCATAAATTGCAATACAAATATATTTATCAATTATTATACCTTTTAACCTATGTTTGTGAATCTTAAGGCCTGAAAAGGGTAGCTAATTTGAATTAGATTATTGGGGGGGGGGGGGTGATATTATAATATTGTATGTCATCCCTTGGGGGGTGGGGTACAAAATGAATGGGAAGCAGGTGTATCTGTTTTGTTAACCCCAAGATATAATTATGCCAAAAATATGTTACAGGCAGAGAATCATGTACATTGGTCTTGAAGTTAATTTGTCTGAAGCTAAACATTACTATTGTGATATCAAGCGATTGTCAACACAAAACATTTTGACTGCAGTGATTTTTTAAAGTCTTTTAACAATAATTAAATATCATTGATTTCATAGATTTTCAGGTTAAATTTGGCTTTATTAGATGTATTAGAGTGTCAGAACTACAGGATAATCATTAAATGTGTTCTTTCCGCCAAACCCACCACCCCTCCCACAACCGCTATACACAGCAGTATGCAAAGTATCTAATGTCAACATCCTCCCCCTATAATGCGTAAATATATGGATAGCCCTATATATCATACTGATTTTAGACATTTAAATGTATTGACTCTGTGCTCTTTATAATAGTTATATTTCCTGCCATTACACACTGTAAAAAGTGCCGGCGGACATCAGCAAACACCCAGGTGGGGTTGTATGCAAAAGTTATATTTGTTGTCCGGAGGTCATTTGTGGACAGCCCCTATCCAGAGCCATGATCTGATTAGGCCCCTTTTTTGGTTTTGTACCCACTGTTGAGCCTCTGCCCATAACTCAACCCCCCCCCCCCCCCCCCCCGCCATGCATCGATTTCTTATTGAAATAGCACACATCCTGTCCTTGGTGCATTGTGCAATGGTTTCTGTGAGATGTTGTGTTTTACCTTGCGAATAGCACATGCTCTGCCACTCTGGAAAAAAATTCTGTCATGAACGGGGTAAACACAGACCTATTGCTTTGCTATACAGTTTGATACTGCGCTGTGTGTTTTTAAAATCATGTTTTTTTCAAAAGATTGGCTATGAGACTGAGGGTTGTGAATGAACCGTTGATGTCATGTGTAAATTTTGCCAATGCATAGTGAAAGCAAGATCATTGAAATGACGTTCATGCACATTAATATTCATATGATATACTGTTATTTTCAATGGATGTCCGCATTCATACGTTAACAGATTCATTAACAGCTGTAGTCTACATCAAGGCTATATTTACATGTAAAAGTAAAATGTAAATAATCAACTACGGTACATGAAGAATGTTGAAATACAATCATTTCTCTGGTTATTTTACATTTTACATACATTATACATGCACTTTCTGTTTGTTTTCTCATTTCTTATTATTTTCAAATTCAAAGGCCAGCACAACTTGTTCAAGTTTAAACTTAAAACTTAATAATCAGATTATAACATATATTTTAAATATTTAAATTGTTCCAAGATATTTTTAAAATTCTTATTAAATTACTGTTACAAATGAACATAGTAATTTTAATATAAAATATATTTTTAATCAAAATGAAAACACCCAAAAAAAATTAAAAAGAAAATCTATCCCCATTTGGTAATTGATCACAAAATATAATATTGCCTTGTGTCTACTCTATCACAAGACCCAGCAATATCATATCTAATCTAAAAGCCACTAACAGGCATAACTTAAAACCAGGCAAATGGTACAATTTAGCTGCGGTGTACGCAGGCATAGGCATAGGTCCATGGTTTTGCTAGGTACACCACCACAGTGCAAGCAGCCACTTCATTTAAAATAATAATTTTCAAAAACACCCTTCATCCCTAATTAAGGCTCAAAGTGCAATAAAATACAAAACGCAACAATATAAAATCGACATACAAGCCAATGGACAATACAAGCTGATATACATCGAGGAATATGAGCAAGCTTCTTGAAAACAAGGAGGTAGACTTCATCACCCCAGCAGGTGAGTGCGAAAAAGATGTGATTTCAACTCAGTTTTGAAAGACTGAAGTGTCTGGCTGTTTCTGAGAACGACAGAAAGGCTGTTCCAGATTTTTGGGCCAGCAAAAGCGCGCTTTCCATATGTATCAAGGCAGACTCGTGGTATCCAGAGTTTGAATGGAGTGATCTAGTGGGTACATAAGGCGTCATGAGCGCTTTGAGATAGGTCATGCAAGCAGCGGTAGCACAGAGTTGCAATTTTGTATTCTATCTGTGCGCTGACCGACAGCCAATGCAGCTCTCTCAAAAGTGTTTTACCATGGTAAATGCTATAGCAACCCCAACCTAGCCTTTTAAATTATTGAACTTTCTGGAAAATTCTTGACCAGTCCTAAATGGCTTGACTATTATTAGTTTTAAATACACTGATATTTCAATACAATACAATCACTACGGCTACGGACTATGATATAATTAATAATGTGTTGATATTATATAAATTATAGTAAATGTAGTAAAGTAATAAAAATATAGTGTAATTAGTGTCTAGTAAAAAAAATTTTTAAATTTAGTGTTGTGTCGGGGCCCCATTTCATTTTTCATAATATGAGCTATATAAATAATAAGGTAAAAGTGCAGTTTATGTGCGTATTTTATTTCTGGTTGAATTTCATATTTTCGCATGTAAAATTATGTGAATTTTTTATAAAAGAATTTTTTAAAGTAAAATGCCATCTTTTTGTTAGAATGCAACAACATTTTTAACAAATTTTACGAGATATAAAAGTACATCTTTATGGATCTTTTGTCTTTTACGGAGCCATTGTGGTAAATCAAGGATCTGTCTTTAAAGATACGTTATAAAAGATGCCCAATTGGATGTATCTTTAATTTATTTTATAACTTTACTATCAAATATATCCGGAGTTATATGGAACTCTCATACTTGACATACGACCCACATAGCCAGTTTTCAAGCCACATTGCAATTGTCACATCCATTTTGTTCTTCAATGGGGAGCGACTTGTGAGAAATTCCATAGTTGTATTAATGTTATTTGTTGCCTCACAAAGTGCACGTATAAACCAAATGCTGCATCATTTAAGATTTCCGTTGCATCAACAATTTGAATTATTGTTTCTTGGTTGTTCTGCCATTTTGAACCAAGTGATCACACTACCAGCAATACCGCAAAACGAGTCCGTCTTATTATATATAATCACTAGCCCTCACCCTCATTTTACTCAGTGCAAGTCAGTCAAGATAAGCGCATTTGCATACGAAAAAGGGGAGGGGTGCTCAAATTAGAGCTGACCAATCATGAACAACGTATTTGCAGCCATCAGTATGCGATGACCATCAATAAATGAACCCATGCTATCATTCCGATTTCCCACATTTCTGCAAGTCACAAATATTTTTTTAAAAAGTGGAACGTGATCACACATTGACACAAATTTGTGGACCCTTGCCTCGGTAAATTACAGGGACGACTGCCACTATTTTATTGAATTTCATGAATGTATCCCTAAATCGATCCCTATGCCTAACCTGAACCCTCAATCGATCCCTATGCCTAACCTGAACCCTAAATCGATCCCTATGCCTAACCTGAACCCTAAATCGATCCCTATGCCTAACCTGAACCCTAAATCAATCCCTCAACCTAACCTAAACCCTAATTCACTGCAACTATTAATAAACACACAAAAGACGCCGCGGCAGCCATCCTCAGATTTAGCCCCCGCCTCTTCAGCCGCACTCCAGGACAATGATGATGTGTGTCCGCTGTCTTAGTAGGTGATCCACTTCTAATTCTCCCCCCCTAATGTCTAACTTAGGGAAACCCATATTTTGGTATATTCTGAGACTGAGCGCTATGAGAGGGAAAAAAAGATGGGGGGGAGGGGTCGCTCGTGAGGAAGAAAAATTCCAGTATTTCATTATTTTTGTGTGAACATGCCTACAGTTTGAAAATTTCGTTTGGCATACTAACTTATAAGTATAAGTCATAATAAGTGATTAAAAATCTGGCCAGAGGATTAAAAACAAATACAAAACGAATGGGCTATGTAACTTATTTTAACTTTGATTGGGGGATGTTTAAAGACGCTTTAGAAATCAAATTAAAAGCAAAAAAGCCCTGTATAATTCAGCATAAATAGCTATTAGTTAACTATAACTTCCTGTATTTAATTAACAAAGAATAACTACGACTACACGTATCACGTAAGTTTACATGGGGAAAATACGAAATGCGGCGTCAGGCCGTTGCCGTTAGGATAATATTACGCACCTGAACTGCACTTTTACCAATAATAAAATATATATTACTTTGACTGATAAGATTTGAATAATAAAATCATTTTACCAACTAAGCTAGTTTACAGAAAAACGCTTCTTACACCTTACATGTATTAGTATGAGTATATCATGTACGTTTTGGCATTTGTCCAATTACCTTTTAGTAGTTTTAATCACCAAAGATCTAGAAATTCCGAGAAAGATCTAGCTTTAACATAAGAGAGCTGAACCTATTTATTAGTACGAAATCGTGTTTACTATTGCACTTTAATTCTGTTAAAAATGGTCTGCTTAGCCTATAAACGATTCTTCAAAAGCTGAACTATGTTTTATATTTCATGTTGTGATTTTTTTTTCAAATAAAAAAAAGAAAAGAGAGAGAGAGAGAGGGGGTGGTAGGGAGGAGAGATAGATTGATATATATATATATATATATATATATATATATATATATATATATATATATAGAGAGAGAGAGAGAGAGAGAGAGAGAGAGAGAGAGAGAGAGAGAGAGAGAGAGAGAGAGAGAGAGAGAGAGATCCCCCCCCTTCCCCCCCCCCCCCACACACACACCCTTTTTAGAGATAGCTAAAAGAAACACTGACCGCATAGAAGTCAGCGAATAGAAGTTCGTGAATTTGCACCTTTTTTATCTTGGTCTTTGAATGTAACTGTGGTGTGCATGTTTTTTGTGAATTGACTGAATGATTGCGAACAATCGTGTGGGGACTACCTATATCAGCGGTTCTCAGCCTGTGGGTCGCGACCCCTTTGGGGGTCGCGGGACCCTTTCACGGGGGTCGCCTAAGACCCTTGGCCCTTGGAAAACACACATTTCCGATGCCGATGGTCTTAGAAACCGATTGATTTGGTCACGCTAAAAAAACAGACATATCATCCCCCTTGATTCATTCACACCATAATAAAGCCTAAACCGACTGTGAAAACTACTGCAACCATCAGCTCGTCAACGGGTAATCGCGGATTATAAATAGTGCATACTTCGGAAGAATCTGACAAGTCCAGTGAAAATGTAGAAGAAAAAAATCAAATTTCCGGCATCCTTCCGTCTCGTGAGACGATGGTGCATCACCGTTGGTTTGGGTTGCATTTTCTCGAGTGGCTGTGCAGTCCTATCCTTGAGTGACAGTCTTTACCACAATTTTTACACACGAGTTCCGTGCTTCCAAATGTTTTGGCCTTTCTCCTAGCTCTTCTGTCTGCAGCCTCTTCCATTCTTCGTTCCTTGGCTACCATGACGCCCTCTTTGACAACTGTGCGCCACGTAGATCGGTCTTTTGCCTTACACTCCCAGTCACTTGTATGGATTTTGGCTGCTTTCATGTCCCTTTGACATACATCTTTAAATCGCAGACGTGGGCGACCTGTTTTCCTCTTTCCAGAAGCAAGTTCACCATATAGGAGGTCTTTCGGAATGCGGCCGGGACTCATTCTTTTAACATGACCTAGCCATCTCAGGCGTCTTTCACTAAGGATTGTGAACATGCTTTGGCTATTCGCACGCATTAGGACCTCACTATTAGTCACTTTTTCTTGCCATTTAATACCAAGTATGCGACGCAGGCATCTCATATGGAAGCTATTAAGCTTGCGCTCTTGGGATGTATAGGTGGTCCATGTCTCGCTCCCGTATAGTAGTGTACTGATGACACAAGCTCGATATACGCACAGTTT